CGTAGTTCCTTTGTCGATAGACTTGGTGCAGCACGAAGAGAAGTTATCCAACTCGACTATCCGGTGTGTTCGCGTGCTTTTCGTACGTGGTAGACCAACGGAAGAGTGGACATGAGCCTAATGTACAACATGGCAGCATATTCACATGCGCATGCTTACCTTGCGTGCACTCGGGCAACCTGTACAGGCATAGGTAAGTGTGCGATGTGCGGTGCGTGGTGTGATGCGGAAGGGGGTCGAGGAGCTCCCCACAATAGCCATCCAGGTTCTTACGCTTCCTCGCCATTCAAGTACCCAACAAACCCCGTGGTTCTCAGCATAGACAGTTTCTCGTTAAGCAATAGTTCTATTCGGTTCACATCGTTTTCATTTTGTCTTCATTATGCTTTTCTACAACCACCTTTCCCGCTCCCCCTCCTACTCCCTCCTTTCCTTCCAGGATACCCTTACTCAGGCATGTGCTTGAAGGGGTGAGCCAGAGTCTCCTGGCAGAAAGGAAGCTTGCCAACGGTCCAAATCTCGGTATCCTAAGTGGGTCATGTTAGCCGGGCCAGTTCGAACTGGGGGAGCCCATCGAATGGTAGTTCAGGCGAGAGGAGCCAACGTACGGGCTTCAGGGTCTTCTTGATCTCGGCGTCAAGGGTGCCGCCCTTGAGGGCAATGATCTCGGGGGCTGCGTCGGGGTCGTGGGCGATGGGGCTGCCGCACTCGGAGCAGAAGATGCGGTGGACGTCCTTGCCCGAAGAACCCTTGCCAGCCCAGGACTTGGTGGGGCCCTTGATGGTGAGCTTGTCCTTGGGGACAACGACGACGAGGGCTGGTTGGCGAGATGGGTCAGTGGGACTCAACTATGGAAAGGGGGAGGGGAGATGCGGCGCTGCTTACAGTAGGTCGAGCCGGACTGGCGCTGGCAGTCGTCGCAGTGGTCGTAGCCCGTGAGGAGGGGCTTGTCGACGTCGGCCGAGTAGGTGACGGCCTTGCAGAGGCAGTGTCCGGTAAGAGGCATGTTGGGCAGCTGTGTTTGATGGGACTTTGGCTAACGAGAAAGGATAGACGTTACTGGACGAGTCTCGATCGATTGAAGAAGACCAGAAGCTCGAACATGGTACGAAATTACGCATGGGCGGGGTAGCTTCTTTAAAAGACGTCGCCAGCTCCGATGTTTGGTACACTGGCCACTCAACGCCTACGACCCGACGACTTTACCACCTATGACGACGATGGCGGGGTTGGTCACAGATACGGCGGGGGAGGGGGGTTTGCTGAGACCAACAGCTCAGCTCTCCAGATAGCTGCGAGAGCTGGTGCGGGCGGTGGAGGCCCGAGACCGAACCTCGACGTCAATTGGCGCTCAAGGACCCTCCGTTCCCTCCTCCCTCTTGCAAAGAACAGGCTCCGACTACGCTTGTTATTTGTCACTGCCGTTGCTGCGGTGCGAGGGACCACTCGCAAATTGCTACGCGACACGAGGAGCGGGGGATTTGGAATGGTCTCGGAGGGGGGTTCCCACAGTGGTTGGGCGTCATCCCCGCAAATATCGGTAGCTTCGAGACCTCGTTGCCTTTGTTGAGGTTCAGGAGCTTCCGGAGCTGTTTTGAGGGTGGACCCGTGGGCTCCCCACCATGGTATTTGTCTGGCAGTCATGCATCCTGGCGGGCCATCTTGCAGCTGCAAAGGGATTCCAAATACTCTGCCTCAAGGCGCAACTCCACCTGTCAGACCAGTGATGTACAGAGGCTGGGATGGGTGCTGACTATTTTGGCGGGTGAACTCGCGCTAGTTGGTACATTCGAAGCCTTGCGAAGGAAAGATTACGAAACCTTGGCATTTAGCGACCAGGTATTGTGAACTTTGTCATCTACTTCTTCAGCTACGCCATGATTCTGCCTGCGAGATAGCCACTTGTGTTTTTAGAAACTGCCCAGGCCGCGCCGACGCGGAGAATCATTCTTGCAACCAGAGCAGCTCCATTGAACCCAAGGCTAACCTCTCGGCAAGGAAGACCCTCAGCACGAGCGACCGGGTAGAGTTTCCGCACATGCTTGTCCTCGTGTGCGAGGACAAAGCCGTCCATACCTGAGATGCGGAACTGCCTCAGGTCATCCGTCCGCTGTGTACCCGCCTTCTCGGACGGTGCGGCCATCACGCTCGACGTCAGTGGTCGCTCGATGCGTTCCGGCCGCTCT